CATATACATTAATTAATTTTATAATATAATTTTTATCATATTATTAATTTTAAGTTTTCGTTTTTCCTATCATTATTTTTAAAATATATATATTTGTGTCGTTATGGGATCAGGCTGCCACTCATGGCATCCATAATGATTGTGTTATGAGTTTTTAATCAATTTAAACAATAAATTATTTAATAATATAAAATTTATTTGTTAATATTTTAAATAATAACTAATATTATATTATTAATTTTAAGTTTTAATTCATCAAATTCTCCTTTTTTTCTATCATTATTCTTTTTAGATTTGCCTGCAAGTAGTAATGTACTTTGTACCGTGCCGTACGACATCAAATTTTGTCAGTTCGCAGGTGTTAAGCTTTTATTCAACCACGTGGTGCTGCCTGGCACGACTACTACAAGCCACACACATTACCTAAGCTGGGTTTTCTTCTTTTTCTTTTTTTTTCCATTTTTTTCCTTGCAGCACCGTATTTAAAATTTCAAATTAATTTAGCTAAATCTCAAATCTCTAGTGATTCACTCTTTACTCCTTTCTTATAATTTTTTATTCATACGTGGAAAGAAAAAGAGTCAGAACTCAGAACAAATTTCAATAATTATAAAGTAAAAGCAAATTTCGATAATTGTAAAGTAAAATTATAAGATTTTATTATAAAATAAAGTTGTAAGATTATAAAGTAATTGAACATGCTGTTTCGATTTAATAAAAAATTTAAAATAAAAAGATTTTTTTATGATAGAATAGATAATTGAAATAAAAAACAATGATAAAATTAAAGAAGAGAAAAATATTTATTTAAAAAAATAAATAAAAAACATTATTTTTTAAGATAAATTTTAAATAAAAAATACCTATTATTATTCTAGTATAAGTGGAGAAAAAACCACTCCTCATCTCTTCTTGTTGTATTGTCATAATTATTCTGCTTGTAACAAAGATTGAAAAAAAAAAAACTCATAACTTGTGCTACCTTTTTATATTTTTTAAACATTTTAAGAATTTAAATTTTAAACCTCTAATTTTAATTATAACTCAAAATTTTTATAACAGCGAGAACAAACTCTTTTAGCTTTCTTGTTGGCCATAATAATTAAGTACTTGTTGTTAAGAAATTAGGATGGATGGCCCATTCAGCAAGAAGTCCACTATCGTAAAAATAAGAAGGTGAGCAGAGCCGGTGAGAAGGCGGACCCGGAGCCTGGTGCAAGCAGACAGCAAACATAGCTGGAGAGCACGGTGCACGCGGTATTTATCAATTTAAATAAAGACAACTGGATATATATGAGGAACTGATGAGAAAAATGAGAAAAAT